GCAGGGTGCTGACCTCATTCCGTGCGGACCTGCGGGACGCACTTTGTCGAGTGGCTAAGGTTTCTGAGGCCTGAAGTGTTCACAATGCAGACGTTGCTAGACTTCAAATCATTCAGCCATCCCGCTCTCAGCTCAGGTCCTTCTACATTGACAGCTCAAACCAAGCAGCAGGCACTTTACAGCTTGGTACTGCCTGCATTGACTGCGGTGATCCTACCAGGCGCGTCTGCTGGGCATGCTGCGTGGGATTATGTAGTGCCTGCTTCACCTGGAGGCAGCAAACTAAGGAGTTCCATGTATTTCGGCAAAAACCCTCATTAAATCCTCATTCTCCACCGGTGCACCCTCAGCTGTTTCCATTCAGCTTTATCAGCTTTGCTCAATTGAGGAAGTTTCGGAAAGACAATTTTAGCATATTTTAAAACGCTAGCCGAGAAGCGGAGGGATGAAAGCTCTTCTTGCTCTCTTTGATCTGGGAATTTGCAGTCGCAAGAATTCCAGGCTGCGGGGCTGTGATATAGCTTGTCTTCAACCCGGCACAGCAGGCAACTCATTGGCCACTGGCTGAGTTATGTTGTGCATGGCCAGAACTCGCACATGCTCGCATATAGTGGTGCTTGACAAAGCGTCCTTGCCAACTGTCACAATCTAAGAAAAAACTACAAACCTTGAGGGCATACCCCCTAGAATGGGGAAGTTGGGGTTACCCAATAAAAATCCATTGGTTTCAGTCTTAGTTTTACTCTGTTCTGTCTTACCTACTATAGTTGTGTGCCAACTTTGGCATTCAATGGTTTCATATGATGTCCCAACAATGTCTACGTGGCACGCAGCCATCACAGTTCAAATGGCTTACCCTGCGCAAACACCTGCGCAGGGCGCAATTCCATCGCTCAAGGTGTACCTCTCCCAAAGTGGCCACATTTTGTGGCCTGCCAAACCTTTTTTCCTGCTTGCCAACAATGACACTACCAGGCAATACCTGTCAGTGGTGAAGAAGGCTTCAGGACAGTTGGCACCAGTTGGCACGGTGTGACAACTTGGAACGGTTGTGGTATGTTGTGGTCATTTCTGAAACTCAATGATCTCAATGGAATGGCTCGCTGTGAGCAGTTTGGGGGTCCGGACATCGATCAGTCAAGGCATCATGGCCCAATGGCGCTTCGAACTTCTTAAGTCACAAAGCTCGTTGACGATGCTTCCATGATCTCCTCACAACGATGCAGGGCACATCCTTCCACCTGTTTCCCTTGAATGGATTTGCCAACAGAATCCAACAGACACTACACAAGGATACTCAAGACAAACATGTTCTGAAAGCAAAATCTTCCTAGCCATTATCTCAATTATCTCCCGTTTGTATATCCAAAGGCGTCTTCATTTCATGTACGGCATCACATTGACTAGAAATCAAGCAGAATTGACCCAATGGTTCTACCATAGTGCCCTTCAACAAGGAAACTTGGAGATGACTGTGCCATTCCCAACCCGACTGTGCTGGTTAAAGCTGCAGTACCACAGGAAGCGGAGATCCGCTGACCTCCCATGAGCCGCGGTGTAGCTAGTGCCATTGGTTGTGCAGGACCCACTCCAAATCAGGTTCTGCCTCCTGGCCAAATGTCCAAAACAACTGAATCAAGCCCTTCAATGACGCCCAAAACGGATAAAAACGGAACATTGGGCCAATTCACACAATATGAAGGACAACATTGCAAACCAGGATTCAGTATGCACAACTTATTGGAAGGGGAAACTAGACCGCAACTTGTAATTTGAACAAAGTACATTGTTCCCTATGTGACTGCGTTTGGATATGTACGGATTGCATCCGATCTGCCACCTGCATCCATCTGCTTCATTTTTTGTGGGAACGGGCACCTGTGGTTCTACGTCAGCTCATGTCTGCAACTTGAGGTGCAGCCGGTTCCGCAGAAGTGTGCTTAACCTGAGCTTGTGAGCTGGCTTCTGCTTGCTCTTTGTTCGCTCCAACGCGCACAAAATCCGTTCGGACATATCAAAACAAGTGATGTATCACGGGACCCTACCTTCCCACAGCGTCTTATGCACAACAATCGCATTCATAACAATTCGTGACAGCTCAACATCTCAACATCTCAACCCTCCCAATCTACCTGGGTTCCCACACCCGAGGAGCTGAGCAGCGCCACAACATATCATCCTCAGCGGGAGCGAAGCTGCACCGATGTGAACTCTTGACCAACGTAGCCTCGAGGACATCATCACTGCATCTTCCATCAAAGATTAAAATTTCTCACAAAATCTGGCAAAAAAACCTGTATGCACGCTGCTGGAAGGTTCAAGAATGTTCAAGATTAATTCCTTACCATGCCTCCTTAGTGCTCAAAACTAAGTCCAGTTGCTGGTCCCGGACATCTTCGAAGCACCAACCTGGCGCATGGGTTCGCGAAAGGAAGCAGGAAAACCAAATCATCACACTTCACCACCGCCAAAGATTGTGGCGGCCAAAACAGTCTGCAAGTCAAAAAGATACAAGAAAAGAATATAAGGCACAAAAAGTTTCCTTGGTATTCGACCGGTTGAGAGGCCTGATATGTTCCGATTTGAGGGTTCCTCCATGGTCCCACAATGGCGTCACTGCGCGTCAAGGGGGGATGCGAGAAAGTCTTCTATCTGGCTGTGTTCCTGTTGTGCCGAAACTGGAACAACATCCGAGGCCTGAAATTTCCCTGGTTAGTCGCCTAGTCACCACTGCCCTGAAAAACTTTTAGGCTCCTTGCCGTTCAAAATGGCTGCGGCATGCTACGGTCAGCTTGGCACCAACACTGAATGCATGAACACCTTACTGCATGTTAGAACCGCCTTCCCCATGCCAGACTTTAGTTGTGTCCTCCCTCCTTTTTGGAGACCTACTGGTACGTGAGACAACAAATCAAGATCAGCGTGAAGACTACATAAATACTAAACCAAAATCACAATTTAATATCATTTAATTGTCAAATCTTGCTAAATAAAACTGCTTGCTTACCTCTGTTGCTTGTTGTTTGTTTTTGGTGCATGACCCCGGTCTTCAAGCCAACCAAGTACAGCCTTTTTCCCACGTCGGACGGTCACCTCTAAAGCAACTGTCTAGCAACTGGGATCAAGTGGGTAGCTCGGTATCTATTCATCTAATGGAATTCAAGTGAAGTGCCTGGCATCGAGCATCTAGGCAGAAATAATCAAACATCAAGTCTGTCTGGCCGGGCTGGGGGCGTGACTACTCTGTCTCTCCCGCAGCCTTTAACACACGGATATTCTGATGAACTTTGTATTCAAAGGATTCAGGCTGACCGCTTTCAATCATCTCCTTCTTGGAACATTTTGGGAGAAGGGGCAGTCATCTGAGCGCCTTGCCATCCAAACACCCTCATCGGTGTTTAAACATGACACTAAATTGCAGAGATTTTTGGCAGCATCTCCTCTTCGCAAAAACTATTTGGAAATCCTTTCCCTTATACGGCTCCGTTTCCTACATGGGCTTAAACCCAAGTGCATTTTGGGGCTTTCCTCTGTGTTTTTCAAGTTTCAGTGGCTGAAACAGCTACAAGACTTGGACTTGGCTACCAATGTGGCGACATCTGCCGACATCTGCCGACATCTGCCGACATCTGCCGACATCTGCCCCGGAGGAAGGGCTTTTTCAATCAGCAAATCTGGCAGGCGCCACAATGCCACAGGCCCAACAAGTGCGCCACAACTCCATGACTCTTTTTTCCCTGACATATGAATATGATTGAATATGACATAATATGACATATACATATCCCCTTCGAGTGAATTTTCGTGAACGAGGTTTTGTCTGTCGGATATTTGTGGTACAAGAGCACTATCTGGACCGTCAATACATTGTTCTAGGGGCAAGGGGCTCAAAAAGTCATGGGAGAAAGAGGGCGCGGCTATCAAGGTTGCTGTCATGGCTCAGGGGGAATTTCTTCAAATCAACTTGGCTGTTAGGCATCTGCCTGGCGGTGAAAGACAAGTCTATGCCATGACATACTTCCGCCATTTAGACCTTACCTTCATCATGCCTATGGCCTCATAGCCGAATACTGATATTCTGCAAGCCTTTTGCCTTCAAGGCCTCCTTCGCATCGGGGGAAGATGCTTGAAGCGTTGAGTAAACATGTTAAAACATGTTAAACTTATGTCCTTGGCATAGTGTCATAGGCGTAGGCTACATTTACTTTTGGCCAAATTGGTGGTTCGTTTGGTCCAGAGCATCTCTTGAGCAACTGGCCTGCTGATATCAAAGTTCTGAACACATCTTTTCGGACAAGTCAGCCATGCCCTCATGGTCCTAGTGCTTACAAGTCCTTGTAACATCACGCCAGTTTAGGATAGTTTAGGATCCATTAAGGCAAGGACTGTGTCGAACAGAAGTCCTGCCTGACGACAAGAGCGATCCATCCTCTAGTCTTTCTTTCTGAATAGGCTCACGCACTGGAATTGGATCATCACATTCCGTCCTCCTTCCTGTCAGGATTGCAGCAAATTATGCATAGTTGGCGCCATACCTAAACTTCATGTACACACCGCCGGTGACGGATCAAGCTTGCAAACTTTGATCTGCACGGACGCAGTTCTTGTCGCTTGATATCAGATAGCTTTTGGTAAACAGACTGAACCGCTTCTCACAAGTTTCCCTGCAAACCTGTGTCTGCGCATCTGCTTGTTGTTTACAAAGGTCTCAGCCTGTTTGCCGACCAAGCTTTCACCTGCCACGCTTGCGTTTGCTCCTGTCTGCATTGTAAGAAGCTAACAACCTACAGCTTGTGCACAGGTCCAGGCCAGAACCCTCGAATGACAGCAGGATAAAGCAGGAAAGTCCAGACTCTGCAGCAAAAGATCGTCGGAGACTCAATCTGCGACGTCGGAAGGATGAACTCACGCTCTTGCAAGTGGCGCGATATCATTATGCAGGAACCCCCAAGTCCTAGAACCAGGATGCCGTGTGAACCAGCACAATCCAACGTCGATTGCTAACCAGCTGGGTCATCAATGCTGAGAAGATTGGCACGGTGATCTTTCTGCTGGCACCTCGGAGCAGCACAGTTGGCACCAATACCATTTTTGAACCAGAGGAAATGGCTCTTGGCAGGAGTGGATGCGTTGCGAGCTCTAGCTGTGAAAACAGCCGAAGCGGTCCAAAATGCTCCTGGGCTATTTCCACTGACGTATCTTCGCAGTGCTTCCCTTACAGGGCTTTGACCAACTGGAAAAATCCTGCGCCAAAGCCACCAAACATCTGAGCTCGTGGCACTCCTCATCTTGTGGGGACACATAGCAGCCATCAGCGCAAAACTCCGAGCATCCGGGTATCTCGCATATCTATGCATATCTCGCATCATTTTACGCCCACAAAACGAGGGGTCAAGGACTTGGGACTTGGGATGGATTGCACCTGCCTTGCCCAGTCGTGCATTTGTCTCGGAGACACCAATATCCAAACTGGACCAGCATGGCGGCCCTTTCGCAAGTACATTTTCTTGAGGCAAATTCTGCTTCTTTTCTTGGAGCTGCGAGATTTGTGTGGAACAAAGGTGATCCTGGTCAGTTTGCTGCCCATGTCACGTGGTTGCCTTTCTTTGCAGGCACAGGGCGGTTGTAGCTCTCGAAAGGATTCTCCGGATTCTCCCAAACTCTCTCCACAGCTAATAAGCCACATTGCATGAGCAAATGGGTGGAGATGGGTTGAGCAGTTGGCAAACCCAAAGATTCCTCGGACGACTTGCTAGAAACTTGGGGACGCACTTCACCTTCGAAATCTCTCCAAACTTGCTAGCTGCTCTTAGGGCTCTTAGGGCTCTTAAACCTTAAGTGCACGTGCCGCGCACGCTCTGAGATTGTCAGCCTTAACCCCGTATCAGAAACGCAGCGAAGCATGGGTCGATCTCACTGATGAACCAAATCAGGTATATGACGTATATGTGTGAGATCATGTAGCATATGTATCATTACCGCTAAACACCACGTGACCTCGGAACCGCTTGCCACCGCAATGAGATCGGCTGGCCAGTTTCGAGTGCCAGCCTGAAAGATTTGCCTTGCATCGTCACATCCTCCAATCGAAGATCGTAAAAAGGTGAGATTTCAACGGCCTAATGGATATCTGGGTAAAACTCGACCGTGATGCACCTCCGAAGTTTAAATTTATTGAATGAGATTCAACACAGGAGCATTCAAGACAAATGTATTTCCTCAAAGTGAGAGTGGTCCCCCGCGTACACGGTACCATTTTTTTGACCAAATTCCTTGGTCAGCACTGGGCTGCAGCCGCAGCCTTTCGTAGCAGGACTCGTAGCTTTGTCACCTTTTCATACCTTTTCACTCTAGAAGGCCTGGAGCCACCTTTGATTTGTTTATATATATTTGTTTTAAGCAAGAAGACCTATGCCCTTCCAATCTGAGCCTATCCCTTTTATTACTTTTTCTCCTGCATTCTTAGTACCACAGTTTGGTCCGATCACCCTGGCAGTTTGACAAAGCTGCATGGATGAAATCCTTTCAAGCAATTCAATTGGGAAGTGACAGGGTGAGTGGGACACTGGTCTGAGCTGGCTGAAGATGGTACGAGCACTGGTAAAAAGCAAGCTTGGTCTGGATGGGATCCAATGGTTGGTTCTGACCACTGGGTCTGCTGGCAAACACCCGGGACACAGTCGCCACGGGGGTGGAAAAGTCCCGCAGCTAGCCGTCCTTTCAGAAACTTTCAGATCAATCCAAGCAATTTCCTGTAGACTCGCGGCTCATTCTTGGTGCAAATGAGAAGCCAAGAGTTTGCCCCAGTTCACCTTGACTTCAGGAATGGTTTTGCAGTCTGTGCTTGCAAGGCTCAGAAGCTCAGTGGAAGGAAGGCAGTTGCTTGCGTAAAACGCCTTGAAGAAATGCTAAAACATGAGCAGTAACATATCTTGGCATTCAAGTTCACTCTTGCGGATGGTTTGTGAACCATTATGTTTGGCAATATGGGCTCTCGGTTTGGACGCCGGATTCGCTGCTGGCATTTCGCACAAGTGTCACAAAGCTCAAAGTCTTCAATCGCAAATGCCCCTGCAACTCCCAAGAGTCCAAAACAATTTTCAAATTGGAATTCTGCTAGTTCAGAAGTTGAGTGCACTTCTGCTAGATTCATCTCCATGAAAAGTTAAAGTTGCCAGCTGTGGAAGCTTGCTTCTGCCAGGCAAGCTGGTCACTGCATGCATTTTTTGGCAATATCTAGATATATTTCCAGTCCACACTTCATAAGAATAGTTTTTTTTTCTCGGCACTTTTGCATGGTGAAAGCCTGCTGTGGAGGACTTAACAGGGAAATATATAAGGAGATGAGGAGGGTCTTAAGGGCTCTGCGCCGGAAATGCTCAGGCAGAGTCAGAGTCAGCTGAAAGTGGTGTCATGGGATCGAGCAAAGGAGCCACGCCGTGAGGCATGTCAACAATTTCTGTCAAACCTGTCAGCGCCTTTTTGCTCTGGCTTTCCCAAGCCAGCAAAAAAGTGGCAAACAGATGGCAGACAGTCTGGTAGCAAAAGCCAGCGCATGAACCAGCGCCTACCTGTGAAGCTTCTGGGAACAGCCTTTGCTGCCAGGAGTCAAGTTCAAATTGCTCGCAGTCCGACCCTGATGCCAAAGCTGTTTGCGGATCTCCTTGCTCGAACGTTCTTGACTACACGCTTGCCCTGCGACTGAAGAAAGCTGCTTTCAACGAATATCATCCCATGTGCAACAAACCGTAACACACTCTTTTGGCTTCATCTCAAGGAGGGAGCAAACAAATCGAACAGTACCTCAAACCTGGATCCTCCAGAATCTCTGCAGGGAGCCAGTTTGCCTTAGCAGTTTGTTTAGAGTTTCATGTCTGTGGCTTTAGCGCCCAGTTTGTAGCCTGGTGTGGCCTCTGGCACGTCCTCGAGTCATAAATAAGGGCCAGGAAAAAACTATTTGGCTACTGAGCGCCTTCGCTTTCATGTCCTTGCTCGCAAGTCATATATGGACCCCTGGTAGCATGTAAGCCAACCGTTGCAACTGAACCTTTGAGGCCCTAGATCTCAGGCAGCTGATGCGTTCCTTTTACGCTGACAAGTTGAAGACATCATGGAAGATATGGAAGACAACAAGCAAGCACTTTGAGTCCTTCAAGCGATCGAAAACCAGTCGCGAACAAATAATTTTTCAACTGACAGGCAACGCAAATGACACGCCGACGCGCAAAAATTGAAGTTGAGAGGTCAATCAAGCTGAGTGTCATCTCCTCTCGAGTGCAAAGGCCATAACGGTCCTGGTGCCAAGAGACCTCTTTACTGCGTTGCTGGAGGTGAACTAAGTTTCGGGGAACCTGATGGAACTTGAAGCTTCAACTTAGACTACCTCTAGACCGCCTCCCGGATTTCTACTATTCTGTGTCAAGAGAAGTCAAAACAGATTCACTCGTTTGAGTCGTTAGAGCGCCTGTGCCTGAGGGGCGGCAGCCCTCAGCGGCTATGACAACATCAATCCGACCTTCTTGGAGCCATGCTGGACGCGCAGCACTGGGTGGCAACAGATGGCCTGAACAGCTGCCACATGCTGTCTCATTTTTTCCAAGAGCCTTGGCATTGCTTTGTCATTCGTACCACGCACTTGTCTTTTTGGGTATAGTCGCGTATAGCTGCTGGTTTTAGATTGAGCCTCTTGCTGTATAAGGCCCTGGCAACAAGGCTCGTGACCTTTCTGCACACTGTATGTGGGGAGCCTAGGAGTGCAAGGGCCTTGTATTTCGGCTTCTTCGTGTCCGGTTCATTTAAGTTCCATATGTGTATTAGATATGACGGCGGCCATTCATGTTTGTGTGGTCTGCCACCTCTCTGTCTTTGGAAGTGACAAAGCCGCAGTATGCGCAAAGTTTGCTTGCCTCTCTTGAGACAAGCCTACTTGGTCGGTGTGCCATGCAAAAGGGCTCCGAAACACGTGACCAGGGGGAGGGAAGAAACGTAAAGTCCGAACCGGAGTATCATTGTGCTTTCACCAAGACATCTTGCTATGACGCTAGCGGACCTTCCAAGCTGGAGTTGCAGAGCTCTGGGCCGGATCAACAAGATGGACCGACAGGGAAGTGCATCAGTTTATACTCAAGCCAGAGCGGTATCTGGCCTTCCTCCCATGGATCAGGGAGCAAGGCCTACGTAGGTGGAACACCTTATTTGCTGTCAGGGCTTCCGCCATTTGCATCTCCTGCGGGTTATCACTGTACGAACACAACGCTGCTTGGAGGAAGCACGGCCGCAGCTGCCATCACTCTAGGCCCGAGACTGCGGCTGCGATTGCCAAAACAACTCTTGAAGCTGGCTGTGTGCTGGCTGTTGCAGCCGGAAAAACGTGCAGTTTCACCCTTTCAGCGATGTCAAGACAGGGGAAAGACCGTCCATCTGGCAAAATCTCTGTTCTGCCACTCCGCAACCTCCATCTTCGAAAGAATTTCCACATCCATCATGGCATCACGGCAAAGGTTCTGATATGCGTAGCAGGTCTATTTCCACAACAAGAACTGTGCAGGTATTCACGTTCAATAGAAGTCCCTGTTTGGAGGTGTTTACGGCCATGCGCTTGATAATTTCTTAATGCGTCTGCCTCTGCCAGGGAAAGTTTCAAAGCGCCGCCTCAGCCTCAAGTCAAATAGGTGGTCGTTTTCTACACTTCAAGGGTGCCCGCCGTATGCATTCTTTAAGCTATGTATGGTGTCTCGCCACTTCCGCATCTAACTAAGCCCAAACATGCATGCGCTTTAATGGGGGCTAGCAGCGGCTAGCTGGAACGGGCCGGTTTAGGTCAGCTACAGAGCGAATTTGAAGCTGGCAGGGGCACAGCATTCACGGTAAAATCTTCAAACTCTAAAATGATGTCAGAATTTCATTATCTTGGGCTTCCACTCGGTGAGGGAAAAAGCACCTGCTCACTGGAGTGCCCTCCGTACGGCACGAAATCCAAAGTCAGGATCAGTGTATAAGCAAAAGGAAGCATACATGTACGCAAGAGGCCCTAGTTGGATGCCCAAATAGAAGACCCATGTAAAACCCTTCGAGATTTCTCATCCATGAGCTGCTCTCGGGTACCCAACAAAGCCCAATTCCTATGAACTGAACCTTCCGCAGCGTCGATACAATAATGCAGGTCACCTTTCAAGCTTGAGTCGCCAGTGTCTTCGGGAAGCTCCGTGCTTCCACAAGGCCACTGTCAAATGCTTTTGGGTTGAGGAAGTCTACGTCGTCTACGTAAGCTGGAAACACTTTTCTCCCTCTATCACGAGTAATGCCAAACTCATTTTTCAGGGTTGCTTGCAGCCCAACGCGGAGATCTGTCGGTCCTTGCCTTTCCTGC